GAAAACATTCACATTTCTGTTTGTATCATAAATTTCAAATACTGGTTACTTTGAAGTCCAACACACATGACTAGGTGCGATACACTCTCTTATTTTAAATGCATGCCAATGTCCCAGTTCTTTATAGAATACTGAAATGATCAGAAGAGATGAAGAGCTGTTTTACCAGTGAAAGCTATTTTTATTGTAGTAAAAAGTCACTGCATTACATTAACATATTTCTGGAATCATGAGCTGAACAAAAACTATGAATGGGATGAAAAAAATATTGTGTAATTTAAAGAAAACCCCAAAACCAAAAGCTGATGAGTCACACTTTTTAAGTTTTGTTAGACCTCCGTAATGGTTTTGAGTGAATTTGGGATTTTGTGTGGCAGACCAACAGGAAGCATTACATAGACGTGAAGTGGACGGTTATGGTTTATTTACTTTTACAAATAAAAATCTGAAAAGTGTGGCATACATTAACCCCCTTTGGTACTCCCAATTAAAACCTCATTGCCTTCAGAAGTCCCCTCATCAGTAAACAGAGTCCACCTCTGTGTAAGAGAAGTTACAAATTATTGACACAGGAGAGTCGAGTAAGACCGCACACTTCAGATTTTGTGAAAATGTTAAAAAGTATCTCTCATTTTTCCTCAACACATCTGCATCTGCTACTTTCTTGTTGGCCAGTCACATCATTTCGTTGAAATGTCTATAGGTTTGATGAATCCTTTTGTAAGGCACTTTTAAATGTCATGTCAAATGTGTTTTTGTTTTCTACTTCATCGACGCTCTCAGACCTTGGCATCAGCGTGTAATTACTGCTCCTGATTTGGTCCCCATTGGGGATTGGCAAAGCAATGATATCCAGTTTTAATTCATCATCACTGCATGTGAGTTGAGTTGAAAAAGATTTTAAAAAACAAATTTGTTTTTCAAAATGTGATCTGGGTGTACTGCCTGTTGCAACGTGTACATTTTGAAAACTTGTGTTTTCAATTGTGAAAGATTGTAGGAGCTCGAGATTAGTTGCAAGCATCCTCTAATTAACTTCACTGAGGCTTTGACAGTTAATTAAGAATTTCAGCTTGGATGCCTCCAATTAGCAAGGGGCAACAATACTTGTGTTACTGCAGCAGGAAGAGACTATTCCCCTGATATCCACATCACAAGTGCTTGCAATGCATCTTTAGTGGACAAATAGAAAAGCTAAAGAAAGAATAGCGACTAGGAGATGATTTAGAATCACCCATGAAAAAGTATAGTGTAGATTTTTCTTTATATGAATATCCTAATTTTACCTCTGTTATATTTTACTTAATGCCTTATAATTTATTTATTTATTCATTTATTTTGAACAAGCTAGTGTTCGCCGTCATTCTGAATGTGTGTTCCGGACTGGAAATCCACCTTCACAAGGTTGCATGTGATCTAATGTGATTTAATTAAACCAAGCGCAGGTCCAACTCCACCATGGTTCAATGTCTCAGTCTCATCCATCCACACTGATGGTAAAAGGTATTTTTACCATGTTAATTTTGGTGGCTGAATCTACCCATCCCAAGGGCCACCAAAAGAATGAGTGTATTCAAAGCCCAGTGATTGAATCTTTTGATGAGCAGGTGAGCTTGCTTTTACTCCCCAAGGACGTTTTTTTTTTTTTTTGACACTCGTCCTATTCAGTTCCCCCTCAGCGACAGGTGTGGAGACTGACAGGGCAGAGCAGGTCCTGGTCTCTAAGGGACTATGATGCATCGATCATAGTCCATCTTGTTGACTGGACTGCTGCAGTTGTGCAGAGACGTATCAAGCTAGTGGTTTGTACTGATTGTTGGTTAAAACACATCTGCATAATCCTTCACAGAGATTACTTAAATTCAGATCCAGATTTATTCAAGTCCCAAATGGGCAATTAATGTTACAGCAAGTATGTGATTATAAAATTACATAAAAACTAAAAGACAAAGTAGCAAAAGTAAAAAAACAAACAAAAAAAATTACCCCTCCCCAAAACAAGCATCATCAATACATAATGTACAACAGTGTACTTCCCTTTCTTTTTCAGCCATTCAGTTGGATTGATGCTGTGTTTAGGATCATTGTCATGTTTATGAATGAAGTTCTCCCAATGTTTATCTGTCTGACAGATAACCTCACATTTTACCCTGGAATACTCTGGTACATTCAAGAGGTCATTGTCAGCACAGTGAGTGCAAAGTGTTCAGATCCTGTGGCTGCAGATACACTTAAACTATCAGACCTCCAGCATCATTTTTGCTTATTGGTACAGTTTGTTTGCATTGCTACACAAGTCTTGCCAAAAATGATGAAGAATTTTACTATTTTCTCATCTGTTGTGGGGTCTTTTTAAAAACCTAACTAATGCAATATTTATTTTAGAGAGACAATGCTTTGTACAGGGTTAGTTCCTGTCTCAGTCATGAGGCCAGCATTGGGATTTAGACTAGACAGGATGCCTCTCCATCACAGGGCAACATAGATACACAACCATGCGTGGATACACTTATACACAATGCAATTTCGAGTATTCGCTTAAACTAACTGCCTTTTTTTTTGGACTGTGATGGAGAAAGTTATCTGGAGTGAGAACCCATGACTAAATTGGGTGAGCTCGCAAGCTTCAGAACTAGAGTCAGGGTTTGAACCCAGAACCTTTTTGCTGCAACAGTGCTTACAGGGCAGCCGGGCATCAACCCTCTTTACATGCTCAGTCAATACCAACATCGTTTCTTTTTGGCTGCCAATAGAAGCAGCAAAGTTGAACCGCCCTCCCCACCACCGAAATGTGTAACATCATATGTTATTTAATTTAGTTTCATATTTCATTGCATGCTGCTAAGTACAACTTTTAAAAAAATAATTGGTGATCAGGTTATTTTTAGACAGTTTACTTTCCTATGTAGCAAGATCACCGGGTCAGTGGCTCCAGGTGCCATGAATCACCCCTCAGTAACCTCTGCCCCTGCAATCATCAATCAGGAGGCGCATGGGAGTGAATCAAGCCATCTCTGCATTTGCATAACAATTCATAGGACTTTCCTTCCAGCAGATGTATGTCACAGTCCCTGTGCTTTTATTTATACTTATTGGCTAAGAAATGTTAGATTAAATCTATAAAACTAGTTTCACAGAACTGTATTATTTAATAAACCGAACAGAACATTTGTTAAACTGAGCCTGTTAATTAGTTAATTGATGGTCCACATGTCTCGTCCTTTAGGCGACTACCCAGCACCACGAGCAGTTCTGACTGGTCATGACCAGGAAGTTGTGTGTGTGTCAGTCTGCGCAGAGCTGGGCCTCGTCATCAGTGGAGCAAAAGGTCAGTGTTCGTCTTTGTCTATTCGTGTAGCTGTCATCATGGAAAAGTGGAGGACCAGAAATGTGTTAAATGTGGCTCTAAAGCAAAACTAATTCACAAGCAAACTGCACAAACAGTACATTTATTACAACAGTAAACTCATCCCTGTTATCAGGTGTTTTCCACTGGGCTTTAAAAACAGCAGTTGGCAAATCACTGATAAAAAAAAACAAGTTGCTATTGCAGAATTACAGGCCAACTTTTGACAGTGTCTCAACGGTTAAACAGCTTCCTTCTCTTGGCCAACTGCTTTGACGTCGTTCAGTCCGGTTTTCCAGCTTACCACAGTATTGAGACTGCCCTCGTCAAAGTGTTCTATGACATCCACCTAAATACAGACTGTGGAAAAACCACAGTGCTGGTTTTGTTGGCCCTCAGCACAATATTTGACATGGCTGACCATGACATAAGCAGCTGGAGATTTGGATGAGACTATCTGGACCAGTACTTGACTTGCATAAAGAACCGGGATTTCTTAGGTATCTTCTCATCAGAGTGGACAGTAATTAAATGCATAGTACTCCAAGAGTCAATCCTGGGATCCCTCCTGTTTAATATCTATATAGTCCTGTTTGCTCAGGTTATAAATTGTAATAAGATTAGTTACCATAATTATCCAGATGATCCACAGCTTTACTTTACAATGTCACCAAATAACTATGAGCCCATCCAAGCACTGAAGAAATGCTTGGGACAAATCAATGTGGCATGACCATCTACAGCTGAACAGAAAAAAAAAAAATTAAGTTATTATCTTTGGACATACAGAGGAACAATCAAGAGTTGTTGTTTACTTAAAAAAGGACAATTTACGTCACATTATATGCCAGTTTTAGCCATAAAGGCTAGTTTATGTTCAGGGGGCAATTAATATTAATACAACCTAAAACCAAAATAAAAATAAAACACATTGTTGTATCAACCTTCCAGAAGACTCGGGTCTTCTGGGTCTAGTTTACTCTGCATTCCCAGAACCAGAACCAAACATGGAGCAGTATTCAGCTTCTATGCACCACAAATCTGGAACAAACTTCCAGAAAACTGTAAAACAGCCAAAACACTGAGTTCCCTTAAAATAAGACTTACACCTGACCTGTTCAGAGTTGCCTTTGATTAATAACTGATTAATATATTTGATAATTATTAAATATAATAATTTTGATGGTGGCATTGGACAAAATGTAATGTTTGTTGCTTTGTTTCATAATTATATTTGTTTTTATCTTGTATAACACTGGCTGTTGCTGAAATGTGCAATAAACATAAGTATACTAATATTTGCATTCACAGCCTGACGGGTTGAAAACAGTGAGAAATATGTCCAGCTCTTTTTGTTAAAACATGTACAGGTACCTCACACTGTGCTTTGGGTTTGACAGAGGGTCCTTGTCTGGTCCACACCATAACCGGGGACCTTCTACGGGCCCTAGAGGGGCCAGACAACTATCAGTGCCCACGGCTCATCTCAGTGTCCAGTGAGGGTCACTGCATCATCTATTACGAGAGAGGCCGCTTCTGCAACTTCAGCATAAATGGAAAACTGCTGGCACAGATGGAGGTCAATGATTCCACCAGGGTAAAGAAAGTTGACATTAGCATACTCAATGAAAATATCCTTACATACCCACAAAGCAATTCATATCTGGGGCAAATAGGATTATGCAATCATGTTTTCTTCCTTCATACATTTTCACAATGACTAAGCGAAAAAAAGAAAACTAAACACATGACCTCTTTGTTATTCTCATTGTGTACATTCTTTATTCGACTTTAGGGATTAAATTTATAAAGAACAAAACTATTTAGCTGCATATTTTACATTCTGCAGTAAAACCACAATTTTTGATAAGACTAAGGTGGTGTGTTAAATTTCTCTGTATCCCTCCTTAAGGCAATTCTCCTGAGCAGTGATGGACACAACCTTGTGACAGGTGGAGACAACGGTGTGGTGGAAGTGTGGCAAGCTTGTGACTTTAGACAACTCTACATCTACCCCGGCTGTGATGCAGGCATCCGAGCCGTGGATCTATCACATGATCAAAGGTTAGGTTTGGGCAGTTTCATGATGGTATTTTACCTCAGAGGATGACTTTTGTTTTAGTTTCTTTTAAAACAGATTTAAATCCTACTATCAAACATGTCATATGACCCATGAGGAATGTTTTGATACTTCTCTCTACAGAGACGATGATAGCCGTTGGTATTCAAAGCTAGAGAAATTGAAAAAAATGTCAACCGTATCCAATAGGAAGCCTAGATTTGTTCTAGGTTTCATTAAGATGCTCCATCTTTTATAAACTGAAAAACTTTCCTAGTTTTTTGTGCAAATTACTGACTTCTCTCACATCAAAATGATCAAACTAATGAAGAAATCTTTTTAATTTAAGAAAACAATAGAACAGGGAAAAGTTGAGAGGAAATCCTGTCTAACTGGGAGTGCAAAGAATAATGCATATAAAGCAGAAGCTTTATGCTGGACTCAGATCCGTGCAACTGTGGGCCAAATTTCTCAGAAATGTCATAGTGTCCAAACTTGTAAATAGTTGGAAATTAGTTTAGAAATTCTGCTCTTTTACTGAGGACACAACGTTTCCCTTGTTTCCCCTATGGTTCCATTTGCAACAACAGGTTCCTTGATAAAAGTTTGAACAATCTCTAGCATTTGGTTCAAATGCCTAAATTCTGAGTATTAACATGTGACTGTTTGGAATCCAGTCTCTAATTCATCAAATAGTTCAGTAAAGAAATATCTGCCCTCTTTACCCAATTCACTTGGTGTGTTGATGTGTCATGTGTAGAGGAGTAAAGTGCTCATAACCTCTTTTTCTGTTGCCAATAATATACCAAGCATCTTTAAGATATTCTGCACATAATTTTAATACTATATGGTAGCAGATGTCAATTTTTGTGTCTTTTTGTGTCTGAAAAGCGAGTTTTAGAACAATTTGGAACGGTAGATTTGATTCATGCTTTTCGGCTCTAAAATAGGATGTTTTACCTTTTATTTCTTTTAAGGAGCTGCTGCTTTACTTAGTTCCACAACTTTGCCTTCACGAGTTCACTGCAAGTAAATGCAAAAGTAAAGTGGGGTTTATAACATGAGTTACAAAGAACCATTCTGCAGCGACTATTCACAATGCCTCAACGTTCAGAGCCTTGGGGTGAAGCAGTAAGAGGCTAAACTGATAAATCAGCAGCTTCAGTACATTCCAGCCAGACATGGACACAGAGGTTGCAGAAAGACATTGAACAACTAGCTGTAACCCAGTAGTTTTACTCTGCATGTTTCTCCATATGCTCTACATTACATGTTTTAAAGTATATTTATTCCCTTCTGCTACCCTTTAGGACCTTGATCACTGGCATGGCATCTGGCAGCATTGTGGCATTCAACATAGATTTCAACAGATGGCACTATGAGCATCAAAACAGGTACTGACCAGATGAAAACTTCCAACATAAAGGTTAAGAAAAAACAAAACCTGCTAACCTGTGACTGTGGCGAGCAGAAGAGGATCCAAATAGCAAAGAAGGGATCAATCAGCAGGAGAACATCAAATATTTTTTTATGTTCATCTGACCTCAGAGGCAACCACATTCTGATTTATCTGCTGCTGTACAATCTGGACACATTGTTTTATTATTGTACCTTAACACCAGCTGTCGTCTCGAACTGAGACAAGTGGGACTGTTGTGATTATGGAGAAACTGAGGTGATGTATGCACAGATGTTAAATTCTAAATGTTTCCCTTTTAAACTGGAAAAAAAGTAAAGCAACATATCAGCTGTTCACACATTTGACAGATATTTGGGAAAAGTGTAAAGAAAAAGATCTAAATGCTGGTGGCATAAGATTTTTGTTAGCGGTAAAGGCTTAATATCTAAATGCTGTGGGACAAGCCAATGAAATGAGAGATGCCATTGTGCAAGCCATGAGTTATTGTAGTCATCACCTTAAACATTTGTTAGTAACATGGGTAAAGCTGCTGTGTGCACCTAAACAGAGGTTAATTTGTATGTTTGTGAAAAGACTAAATGTTCATATATTTGTTGTTCGTTAATATGGAAATGTGAGTTTTAATGTAATCTTTGTGTCCTTTGTGATAAATGTTTTTAATATGCCAGCAACATTTAAATGTGACATTGCCTTTCTTTTTGTTTTTTTGTTTTGTTTTGTTTTTAAGTAGGACTATTAGTTTACATTTTTTGTTCAAAAGATGACTCAAAAAATGAAATGCCAAATTTGTTACATGGTATCTTTTGATTTCCGTTTGTAGCAAAACTGACATTTTGAAAATGTCATTTTAATGACCATGTTATTAATGGTGCATTAGACATCAGTTCTGTTATTTAAAACCTTTGTATTTTGTATTCTTTTGCACAAATTTTTTATCACGTTAATTCATAAACTGCACTTACTGTCAATCTGTACTCTCATAAGCAATATTTTGTTTCAGAATAGATTTAAGGAAGGTTTTCTGTTACTTGACATTAGTTATTGATGCAGATAAAGTGCTCTATTTTAGTATATTGATTAAAGCTATTAAAGCATTACTCTGCTCATTATCTGTCGATCTGTATGAACAAAAATATGCAAAGTAATAACTTTTGGTTTGTTTCTAAGCACATGTCTAACATAAAACCAATCTACCTAAAGCTATAATTTTGCATGCTAAGATATTAAGGCGGCACTGGGTTTACCATGTGTTCACATAAAACTCATTTCAAAAAACAATCTGTTTTTCACTTATACGGCAGTCAAATTCCATGTAGCGTTTTAATATTCATGCAGTGTTTTAATATTCCAGTTGTGCAGTGTCATTTTCATATGTTTTAATTTAAATGCAACATATTTGGAGATTGTAACTGCATTAAAAAAAAAATATGGACCTGAGTGAACTTATGTAGTGTTTCTTTAAATAAATGTAAATTGTAAATCTGAAATACAAAGGGTGAATTTTTCTGGAATAGTGTTTGGTTATGCTGCCATCTGCTGTTTGAACATGATCAGCAGTTTAAAAAAATTTTTCTTCAGGTTTTTGTTTTTTCAGAACAAAGTATTTTTTGTGTTGTTTTGTTTAATACAGTATTACTTTTCAGGTGGCAAGTCATGAGGCACCTAAATATTTTCACACGAGGAAAACCTATTCACCATTAATAAAAACGTTTCTTCACCAACTTGATTTCTTTGTGCCATTTGGTACTTCCCCCAAAAAAGTCCTTTGGTGACATTACATTAATGTCAACAAATGTGTTTTAATTTTATCAATTACCATGGACAGACACTATAATGCAAACTATTCATATAGAACAACAATTGCAGGAATTTGTTCATTTTTTGTTTTACAGCAAGAGAGCAGAATAGTTCCATAGTATGCACTTTATCACATGCAGGAAAGAGCCTGGAAGACAAACATTCAAAACTTTTGTCTGAGCAAAATTAATCACGTAATGAGAAAACATACAGGTCTTAAAAAAAGTACTTGCATAAATCACATTAAAATGACTATTAGTGGAAGCACTGTTCAATTCACTTAAGTGTGAAAAGTAACTCATGTTGCACCATTTAACTCCGATAGAGAGGCGTGTCAGTTGTCTGTTAGAAATACATTTGTTTTGGCATTCAAAATGGACATTTAGTATTGTGCGCTTTGTGCACCTAATTGCACTTGAGTCCAGGTGTGCCAAGGCAATGCCTTGACAAAGGTGCAATTTTCAACATACTGTGCTCCACTGAGATTCATCTGCACCACCACCATTACAAGAACTAGTTTATTAACCCTAATTTCCTTTGTGAGACAAGTTAATAGAAGTACTAGGTGTCTTTTTACAGTTCAGAATGATTTAATGATCCAGTGTAGCAGCATTTGTCAAATGTGTTTAGGAATTATGAGTCACATCTTTAGATCCCAAAGCACCATGCTTTCAAGAAATGTAACGCTGCAAGATATTAAGCTAATAATGTGATATTTGAATTGAAATTTTTGAAAGTAATATGTATGAAACGTATCAAACATGGGTTTAAATGCAAGAATTCAATAAATTTGTTCTTGTGAAAATTTAGGCAGTACTATGTTGTAACCATGAGGGGGCCCTAGTGAACTACCTCAGATGCTACCTTTCAAGAACAAATTGAAGCTGCATTTGTGGCTTAAGAAAATATTTCCACAAGACTCCAATCAGCTAATTTGAATTTTTTTTTAATCGCCATCTTCCCCCTCCCCCCCTTATAGTTGAACTATAATACCAGCTCTACTCCATTATGGTGTACTTACTCACTGAGCAAACTGATCATATACACAGATGTGGATTTTGCTCATCTTTGTACTCATGCATTACCATTTGGATAAGTACAACTACAACCCAAACTAAAATTTAAGAGAACTACATCAATGGTGAAATGATTGCAGTGCCCCTGCTAGTCCCAGTTTTTAAAGCAAAAAAAAAAAACTGAGAGAAGGCTACTGTCTGAATAAATAGGCCAAATTAGACAAACTTTTACATTTTTTGCATGCTGTCAAGCTGTGTTCATTTTATTGGGCTGTCCTTCAATTTTACAAATGCATCTTAAATTGAGAAAGTGACCAGAAAATGGGTACATTTAAGGACCAGAGACCCATTATCTCTCCAAACAGGAACCTGATGTGATTCTGGACACCTATTAGAAGGGAGAAGTGGGTGAAAGAACGGTGTCGGCTGAACTTGGAGACAATTCTTCCAACTCTAGGGAGACGACGGGGTTGGCCATCTCTGAGGTGGTGGTGGCACCACTGCTGGGCAACAGTTGGGTAGAAAGCTTTACATCCTGGTGGCGTCTTCCTCGGAAAACTTGCTTCTCTTTATCAAGTGGCGTGGTCTAAGAGGGGGTGAAACAGTAGTATATATCAGGTTCTTCTCAAATCAAAGAGGCAAGTTAAAAGTAAAACAGAATAAATTGTGACAAATTGATAGAGAACAAAAGGTGCTTAGCTAATCAGGCACAATGTTAAAAATGTTTGCACCCTCTATGGAGCTACAAATGTCTTGTTTGCCATTTTATAAAACTTAAATGTTTCAGATCAAACTTTAATAAGGCAAAGATAATCTGAATGCATAAAGCAGTTTTCAAATGATATTCAGTATATGAGGGGAAAAAAACATATCCAAAATAAAGTAGCCTTCTGTGAATCAATTTACCCTCTTGCTGAAACATGATCTGCAAAATTACAGCACTTTGATTTTATTTCACTAGCCACACCAATGCCTGATCACTGCAGACATGTAAATAAAAAAAAAATCACTTAATTTGAACCAGTGACAACACAAAATGGGCTAAATTATCCAAAAAAAGACAATTCCCCAACCTAAAGAAATGCAAGACATGGAGGAAATCCTTGATATCCATCAGGCTGGAAAGAGAAGCAAAGTCATTTGCTAGAGGCAGGTAGATTACCTACAAATTGTAGTCCAGAGTAAAACTACCACATATTCAGACTCCAAGTAAAAGGTATCCAATAAATTAATACAGAAAATAAGTACCAAGTAAGTGATCATAACAGCTGATCTAATAGTAAAACAAATCAATTAGCAAAGTTTAAGTAGACACTTTGTTAAGCCCCCTCATCCCATATAAACATTTAGAAATGTTAGAACAGGATAAAATGCTTCCAGTTACAATGTATAGAGTTTATTATACATTTATTTGATCTCCAAATGGCACAAATGCTTCAGCAGTTAAACATAGCAATACAATAAAATGTGTTAAACAAGAGGTCTCATTTAATAAACTGTAGGTTCATGTTAAAGTTTATTCTTCATTCTGTGAAGTTACTCACAGAGGGTAGACAATCCAGGAGCCACTTTGCTGCTTCTGGACATATTGTAGAAAATATTAAAAACAGAAATTCCACTCCAATAGAAATCCTTAAGCAGAATGTTTGGCTTAGAAAGTTGGGTTATGTAGTGTGACAAAAACCCAACCACTTAGGTTTATGGAGTAATTACTTTCAAAACTGCTTTTCAAGTATACCATAAAAATAGTTTGATGATCTAAAGAATTTAAGCGCGACAAAAAATGTAAAAACACAAGATATAAGGGGGAAATACAGTTTTTGTGACACTTGACAGCGCTTCTTGCAAACAGAATTTAAATCACCTCAGAAGGTTTTCTGAATCATTAAATTCAGTTTCTATTGTAAAGGTAACTTAGTGTAATGTGAGAAAATATCACAGTAAACCGTGTAATGAAGAAGAACAGCTGCAGCCCAAACAGCCCAAATGAGATGAGGTAAACTGATGAGGTATGAAAATGATTAAGATGATGGGCGTGGGTCAAATCCATGGGGAATGGGAAATGGAGACTGCCAGCACTTTGCCATGGAAGCACTCACTGCACTTTAGCACTTTGCTGTGTCATACCTTATCCAACACAATCCTGGATTCTGGTTGTGATCCAAAGACCCTGACTTCTGGATGGTTAAGTCCTGGTCCAGCAAAGCAGAGGGAGATGAACTCAGTGGATCACCTTGAACTCAAAGCATCGCTGGCCAAATTGTCAGTAAGGTGTCCAACTTTAGTTTCCTATTAAAGTTACTACTTCACTGGCAAAAGAATTACAAGTAATCTATTTTTTCTTTATTTTACAACACATGAAAACTCACAAATTGTTCACTACATAAAAAAAAACACCATTCAGCATCTCTTCCATCAATAAATAAGCAGTTGAAAAATTCAGTAGTTTCCTATAAAGTAACATCTTGTACACCTAATGACTATAAGCATAATTTATGTGCAGGATGTTGAAGCAACAGTGCCGACAGTCCAGCTAGACAGGATGGGAGCATGGGGCAAAAAAGAAAAAGAAAAACACATGGTAGCATGACTAGGATCTAGTGGAGCTGCTGTGGTGGAGGGAAACGAGTTCGCTGCAGAGTAGAAATGCCATAATCTTCAACTGATTCTTTAATTCAAATTTAAAGTACATGGAGGTAAGAACAATATATAGTCAGAAGAAGAGCCGCAATCCAAAAAGAAAAATATACCACACACACTTTGGGTTGTCAGTAAGTTTACATTTCAGAGGCATTTAATATCAAGGCTTTCACAGATGGGGGGACGGGGAGGAAGTATCAAGAGTAGATAGAGCAACGTTTTAAGTGAAGTCCTTTATGTTTAAACAAGAATAATATTTTCTATGAACTAGTACGGTGGATTATACATTTTAAGATTACATTGAAATAGGGGGTAAATTTTATTTTTTTATGGAATTTATGAACAAAATATTTAGCCAAAAGCTGTTTGCGATGTTTACTACTTCATTTTCAACTAAAAAAATCACTTTGATAATGCAAAATGTAAATGTTATAATTATAAGAAATCCAATAAAGTGAAAATGGGAATTTCTATGTTTTTATTTATATGCAGTATTAAAAAAGTCAAGTCTTTTCAACTACAAGCAGTGATCCCCTAAAGGCAATATCTGTAATCGGTGATATGAGAAATTTGTTTCATCAAAAAATAAATAAGATTCTGCTAAAAATTTAATTGCACCGTGAGGACTACTTTCGGACTACGTTGAATCCTAATGGTTTCCTTTTTGAATGATTAAGCATGAAAAGGAAGGCAGCAAAAAAGAAAAATCAAAATCAGCAAAAAAAAACAAAAAAAAAAAAAAAAAAAAAAAATGCATTCACTGAGGAAAAAAAAAATTACAAGCAAACTTTGCATTGAGTTTCTAATTAGTTCTTACTGTAATTATTGACACTCCTGCTGCAGTGCCGTTGAGCTTGGGTCCATAATTAAAATGCTTCTTGATTTTTCCAGCCACAGCAAGCTGGTGCCCCTTTTCTGACAGACTGTCACCCTGAAAAATACAGACATTGCTTAGCAACTTAGCTTGAGTTTCGGTAATACATGTTTGCAGTGATTTACTGAACTTACATTGACCCAGGGATTATCCAGCACTTGTACAGCTGTGTATCTTTGATCCACAGCTACCTGCAGCATGCCAGTGATCAGAGCCTAGAGATAAATGTGTTACCCATAAATATCTTGGAACATAATGAGAAAATCTGGTCTGACAGATTGTGAAGCATATTCATGGTAAAAGTCAACTTCCAGGCAACCTTGGCAGATTCAGATACATTGTCCCAGTATGGTGCTGGAAATTCAAGATGACCTTTTAGAATCTCTTCAAAGAGGGCCTCCTGGTCTTCACCACTGCTGCAAAAACAAAATGCACAGTTTAAAAAAAAAAAAAGGGGAGAAAAAAACATTTCACAACTGCAAAAGCATATATCAATTAGTGATTATTTTTACTTGATGTAATAATAATAATAAAAAGCACATACCCACGGAAAGGAGGAAAGCCACAGACCAGTATGTAAGTGATGACGCCCGCTGCCCAGATATCAACCTTGAGGCCATATCTGAAGTTACAAAATGAAACATCAGGTTGAAGAAAAACATACATTACAGTTGTTTTGGCCCCACAAACCACATTCGACCTTACCCTGTTTCAGCAACAATCTCTGGTGCTACATAAGTTGGCGTTCCACAAACAGCATAAAGAGGACCATTGACAACAGTAGCCAAGCCAAAGTCTCCCAGTTTCAGAGATTTACTACCATCTAGATGTTCGTACACCTGTGTGACAAGAATGGGCAAAAATGATGAGCAAAGCCCCTACTTGGTGAGACTGAAGTAAAACAAAACAAAAAATATTGCTTCTAAGCACGTTTAATATTTATACTTAATTTTGCATTGCCAATAAAAGCTGTATACCAGTTGTGAGAATATACAGATAAGCTGCGCTGAAAAGTTAAAGCGAATCTTAAAGATTATTTTTGACAGAAACATTATCTGAGGTTAAACTGTAAGCTTCATGCATTACATCTCCAAATAACTGGAGAGGTTTTTACAGTGTTAAATCAAGGGGAAAAAAAAAACAAACTTGTTGGTTTAGAGATATTGAGCTAAACAATTTTCAGCATAGAAAAAAACCCCAACTTATTTTAGGCTTGGATGAGAAAAAGGTAATCCAGCAATTCAATCCAAAAAATTAAAACAAAGATACATTTACCAAAATTAGGTCTATTTCAGGTGTATTTTTTTTTTAAATTAAAACCCCAGATTTCTTTCTTTGAAAACATTATTGCATAACGATTTAAAAAGATTTTTAATCCACAATTTTTACATTATAGATGACACATCCATGTGGAATAAAGCTGACTTGACAGCTGTCCAGCAGACAGTCAGTGACACATTCTCAAAGCAGGATAAGGTTTTTATAAATGCTTATTCCTCAGGATGTGCATTAAGACAGGCTTTATTAAGTACCACTTACCAAGAGATTTTCTGGTTTTATGTCTCTGTGCACAATATTGAGATTGTGGAGGTACTTGATGGCGCTTGCCAAGTTGAACAGCATACAACTGGCATCTCGCTCTGTGTATCTGCTGGAGGAGGTAATGGCATCAAAGAGATCTCCTCCCTGGATAAAAAGTTTTTAAAATGCAAATAATTACTACATGATTATGTAAACTTCCTGAAAGTGATTAATCATATTCTAAACATAACATGTATCAATACAACCTTTCAGGAAAGTAGCTTTGAACCTACATTTACTGATGTATTCACCTATAATCTATTTAACTTAGAAATGCAAAGTACCTTCACCAGCTCCATTACAAGATAGAGATCTCTGCGGGTGTCCATTTCCTCGATTAAGAGGACAATGTTTGGATGTTTCACACGCCTCAGGATGGACACTTCACTCTGTATCATGTGTTCCTGAATGATGCAGAAAAGGAAAGCACATAACTTAAGAATAATTCAGCATTTAAAACATCAGTTTCACAAAGATGTTTAATCCCTGTGCCCCAAACACACACAAAGTAAAATACTAAAGAACGACAAATTAGCACGAATTTTGTGATTTGATGTGATTCTAGAGAAAGAAGAATGCCTACCTTTCCCTTACATTTGTCTTTGCTGATTATTTTTAAAGCGTACTCTCTTCCAGTTGATCTTTCTACACATTCACGAACCACAGCAAAGTTTCCATCCCCTAAAATCCTTCCAACTTTGTATCTGTCTGCTATGGAGGTAGGAACTGGGGAACATTCTTCCACTGGCTCAACTGAGTGAGAAAACATATCTATAATTTCTGAAACATATGGCATAATATGTAGTTTTTTTTTTATGTCACTACCCCACCTTCACTGTTGGGACCATCTCCTTCATCCATGGAGCTGCATACCTTGGTAGAGGCTAACGAGAGTGAAGAGCCACTGTACTGGGATCCCTAAAAACAGGAGGGGGGATCCCCAAATGATCACATCATAAAAAATAATGGCAACACTTTCTAAAGGCTTTAGGAAGAAAAGCTTCAAAAACTCAAATTACATCGAGTCCAAACACAGAAAAGACAAAAACGTGATGCAGAACTGATACACGAGACCCCAATAAGCAATAGAGGACAATTTCAGGAAAATATTTAACTACAATACTATAAATGAAATTGTAATTTAGAGAATTTACATTATATACAAATTAAGTTGCACACAAATTCACAGAGCATGAAAAATTATGTCTGTTATTAATTACACCCTGGCATCCCTTTGCATTATGGTTGTAATTTGAACAATGTTGCAAATCTGCAGGTATATGTGATTCTTGCAAAACAGTGACATGAAAACAAAACAAAAAAAAGTTATGAAATTTTAGTAAGAGGCCATTCAAAGCTTGCATGTGAGCACTAAAGAAATGGCCCCAAATTCTTTAAACGTCCATAAATAAACATTTTTGTTTAATTACATCCCCCTAATATTCACAACATTTTAAAACATTCCAGGGTCTACACAAAACCTTACTGCTGTAATATATTATCCCAAATATTTTAGTGCCTAAAGCAAATGAATGTTGATCCGCACAGATGAAAATACAATAAACAGTAACTATGAAATGCCCATTTCAGACAAATAAGCATCTCTGGATGCAGTTCCTATGCCATCGTACATGTAGCAAAGAAAACAGCAAAGTGCAACAGTATCATTTTAGTACAACAGAAACCTGATAGTCTAAGACAAAAGAGCCCTTTCAAAGCATGACATATGACAGTCAAAAGGTTTAGAAATCATTTGACTATGGGCACAAGGTAAGCTCAAGACAAGAAAAAAAGTAAATATTCAACGACAGCACATAAGTAGTTCTCCATTCTACAAACTTTGGCTGTTATTACCTGTCGTCTTCGGAGGCTAGCAGGACTGGTTAAAATGGGACTTGGAGATTTTCCAGAACGAGGTGTAGAAAGAGTACTGCCCGCAGTGCCATTTGCTGTTAAGACGGCAAAAAAAGACTGATAAGGAACCAAAACATGGGAAGTTCAAGTTTTAATTATTAAACTTATAAACACACATTTACCTGATCCGGCAGGTGAGGGAGACTTGCTTCTGCGAGACATTCCACCAGTTCTCGGCAAGGAACGACCATGAACTGTGGGGAGTCGGCCATATGACGACGACTTTGTCACCCTGCATTCTGGTGAGGAAAAATACATTCAAAGCATGAAATGTATTTTAACATTCAAGGTGATTAAGATTCTATTTAGAATAAGCAATCATTCTGAGACATGAGGTGGAATCTGAACAAAAAGATTCTGCACAAAACTAGGTCAAAAATGGAGGGGGAAAAAAGTATTGCCTGCAGACACACACACCTCATTCCAAGTATAGAACTAGATCAGTCAGTGAAAATATCATCTGCATTCAGAGGTTGGCATATTTCCAGCAAATCTCCTCAGACCAGATTAAATTACCTCTGAGCTGTGTTTAAGCAGCAAATATACTGTGCAAAGGTTAACATACTTTCCCACAACATAACTTAGTATAAAACAATCTACAGTGCAGTGAAAAACGGTTAGACACAAGTTAGTGTAAGATGATTTGATGTGAGAAGAGGGAACACAATATTACAATGCTAAATAAAAGACGCATTAAAGAATTATCTGGGAAATGGGGAGAAATTTTTTTTTAGCTTACCAAGCATTTATATAGGACACAAACAAAGATACTTAAACATGTTTATGAACTGAAAGTCAATATCACATTTAGCCCACTCAAATCCTTATAGACGTACTACTTACCATTTTCATCCAAATTGAAATCATCTTGATAGCGAAACTTTTCAGGACCACAAGCAATAAAAATGTCATCTTCTGCAAAAAAGTCCTGAAGACATGTGACCTGTCAAAGAGATTTAAAACAGGATTCTTAAAAACTACTCTTCAAAGAAAATACCCTATTTTGCATAGAGGTTAATGTTTTTATGTCAACTGATTTTAGCTTTTGACATTTCAAAAGTATTAATTGTTCAGTTTAAATTGGTCAAATGGCTTTTTCAAGACTCAACTCACACTCGTCTCAGGACTTGTAAGCCTACCTTTGGACTCAAGTAGAAAGACTTTTGACTAGCAAAACACTCATTTGGTCCCATCTCTGGGTGATACGGCGTTAAAATGTGCAGTGTAATTACCCTTTATTGCCTGGGATCGTGTAAAAAAAACAAAACAAAAAAAACAACTCTGACATCCATACCTGATAATGTCAAAACAATATTGTTCTGAAGGTGAAAGCAAAGAAAATGTCTCATGATTGAAGACCTTTGAAATGTGTATCTCTATTCTGAAATGTCAGTGAGCACCAATCACCCATTAAAAAAAATAAATAAAATAAAACAGATAAATGCATGATTTTTCTGTTTTTAGCATCGTTTCTAAATCAATCTAGCTGCACTTCACAAGAGTCTATTATGTACAATTTGTTGCACCCTAATTTCTGACAAGTCTGACTGTAAAAATATTGGTGACATATGACCAATAAATGCTTCTATTCATAAAAAAAGACACTATTCTGAGTTTGCAACCCATACACACAACCTTTATCAGCTCTGCTTTTTGAAATGCTACCATCTTTCTGTTGTGCATTTTACTCTTTAAAACAAAATGATTTTCAGTTGATACACTTAGGAAAAACTAACATTTTTAAAGAGCTCATGCTAAAAGACATTTCCACTTTTCCTAAATAGGATGGTTTGAGTCAAACTGTATAAGAGTTTGACAAAATTAAGTTGTTCATTGTCTAAATAGCTAGACATGCACAAGACATTCCCCACTGGCTTAGATATTCCTTTTGAAAAATATAAAACCCATATAAAGTGTGGGAATGCTAAGGCCTTGCCAGACTGTCAACATGTAAAAATAAACTATAAAGCATGAACTAAAATCTCCTCACCATCACATATTTCATGAATTTTAGAAACATCCAGTATGCATCAAAAGTATGACCCGTTTGTTTAATAAAGGTTAAAGAACCATGAAAACTCCCCCTTTGATGACAGCGGGTGATCATCTGGCCATCTGTTGGCACAACATGACATAGCAAGCACTGAATAAAGAACACAAAATGGCAGAGATCAAATTTATTAAACTGTGTAATAAACCCACAAAGTACTCACACCATTAGAGAAACTTAGAAAAAAAATCTTAAAGAATCATAATTGTATACAAGACAAGTAGTTTCTTTGGGACTGAGGAGGGAGATTCTTGGGAATGACCCACTTCTCTAGGTACAACCTGCTAGTACCTGGTTGGAATCCTTATCGCCTTCAGAATTGCCTTTTTTTTTCTTCTTGGCATGGATTAGGAAATAAAAGATGTTGGAAACATCCTTCTTGAAAATGAGTGGCAGTCAACTATATATCCATAATGAAAATCTGCTGTTCCAACCTAAAGGTAACCTGTTTAAAATCAGCTGACTGTAAAGGTCACTTACTTCCCTTTCATGACAAGGAGACCAGTTTGAGATGATTTGAGCTTTGTGACATGGTGCTTGATCTTACTGAAAGTAGCCATCACCTACTGTAGCCCATCTGTTCCACTTTGTGTGCTCCAATATGGTATTCTTTATACTTTGGTTAGAACAGGTAATTATTTAAACCACATTTTCCTTTTAAATGTGTCAAAAAAAAAGTCAATTTTCCTCTGGCCACTAACATCCAGTGAGCACACAACTGTTGCTCACTAGATATCTTCTCCATTTACAGTCAGTCCCTCTTGACTGACCATCTTAAGAGATGGTCGTATGTCAAAATCCAATAGCTCAGCAGTTTTTTAAATGCTCATATTAGCCAATCTGGCATCAACAACCAATCCATATTCAAAGTCGAGTTACCCCACTGCTCCATTTGAACTTCTGAAATGAGGCTTCATCACATTTAGATGATACATGCTTTGAATTGCTGTTTCCAAAAGATTGAACAAGTGTATGTCAGGGACATTCAAGTTAATGGCAACAATAAAGTTCAATGGTTTAGTTCACTCCTGACTTTAAAAAGATGTGTCCCCAAGTATGTTCTATGGCATTGCAAAACAAAAACTAAACACATTAACGTCAGACACAGTCATGCTGCCATATGTACAAAACGGCAGAAAGTAAAACGCAGATGAATCCTGCCACTAACTCACATGCTCACTGCTCTGCTGCAGAGACTGTTACTTAGCAACCACTTCAAGAAACCATTCATCCCAGTGTTACAGCTAAAACAGAAAGCACACAGGACAGAGTTTTTGAAGTGAATTTTAAAGGAGTTACTATTTTTATGGGATGCTTAATCAAGCTTTTGATTAGTTGCCACATTCATTTCCCTTAAAAACAGGCAACCTCCTGGAATATTATAATTTCAAGAGCTTTCAATAGTAGTATTTGGGTATACTGTGGCTGGCTAATCAAGCAATGTAAATACATGTCAATAACCATTGTGCAAAAAGTACTTTTCTGGAAATACTTCAATATTTAGGAGACTAATCTGAAATCAGATTGCATGGTTCCATCTAACAGTGTTCTGTTGTTGTAGGGATATGGGATGGAGACCTAGAAACCCATTTCTGGTAATACATTTAGCAATTATTCCCAGGTGATTTTTAACGTACTGTGCTCTGTCTTTGAGTAAGAAAGAAACTGCAGGAGGGATGACAGGAAAAAAAAAAAACATCCAGAAAACCTTCAGTACAGCAGTAGTCCAAAGCTGTACTGAGCTTTGGACTACTGGTCCATTCAGAAAATCAGAATGGATCAAGCTTATCCCCACGTCATCCAAGTACTGTAAATATCAATTTCCCATAGATCATACCTTGGTAAAACTAAAAGCGGAACTAACTAATGCACATAGGCCATTTACTCCCATTCAAGCAATTAATCTTTTAGAAGGTAGATGGAAAAAAAAAAAAAAAAAAAAGCATAAGAGTACTCTACAATACAGAGCACTTAGTTGTTGGACTTTCTTATATGACTTTAAATGCAAAACATCCAGAACTAACATATAGCTTGCTGAACTTATAAAGTTTAATGAAATTTACGTTTTTGATAATCCTATTAATGTCGATCATCAAAACTGAAGTTTCATAGACGATTGATTCCAGTGACCGGAAGGGTCAATGTGCAACCTCTTCAACTTGAAATGACAGACTCATATTGCTGAGTAACATTTTACAATCTTGAAGATGATGGCAACATAAATATTTGAATATCCACTGTAGGCAAGGAGAGCACTAAAACTGAGTACAAACACAACCCGTCATAAAGTAAAATATTTTTTCGGAAACAAGAAAAAAAAAAAAAAAGAATGACTCCATTGATGCCAAAGGGTTCCTAAGCTTTTGTGACATTAAAGATATCTCTGTTTTACCCAGTTTGCAAATGTATATAAAATAACTAAATGAACAAACTCAAAACTTGAGTTTTACAGAACCAGAGAGAATTTTAACACCTACCATTTTGCCATCAACAGTATATAGCCTTTTGACGACCCCAGAGTCCAGCTTGATGGCATCTGTGATGTCACTCATGACTTGATCAAAGGAGTGTGCCGTCTTCCTGTTGAGCAAGACCCGAACAGCTTTGCGAGGTTTGACTCCACTGCGGACAATCGTCACCAGTTTGGGCTTTATGAAGTCTTTGGTCTCCCTGGTTTCTGGGGATCCAGCCATGGCGCTGCCAAGGGAAGAAGGATCGCGGACAGAAGCTGCAGTCCTGGCGCCAACTGCCCAGTTGGGATTCACATTCTTCGTATAGTCCAGTTTCTTGAAAGGCTCTATAGATGCACAAACATAGCTTTCTCCTGCAGAAAGTTGGAATAGAAAAGTTAAAATACAAATATGAAACAAAATGCTAAAATGTGAGAATGATTGAATAAAGAGCCGAGTATGAGCACATGTTCTTAGATGGCCGTGCCATTTTGTTTACATCATGCACTTTCCGACTTGGTTGGACTATAATGTTTGCACTTAAGACAGCTGACATAACTTGCCTATGATTCAATATAAATTAAAATTTTTAAACAAAGTTACAACAAAAGGGCACAAACTCACCTTCCACCAGCTGTTCTATGTTGGTAATCTTGGTTACTCCGTCAACAGTATATATGGTCCTCACTCCTTGGGGCAAGTTGACATTATCTGAGAGAGATCTAGTGAGATCTGCAAGGAGAGCATCTAGTGATCTAAATCTCTCCTGAGAAATGGCATACACAATCCCTTTAAAGTAGCGGTCACCGTTGCGGTAGAAACGAATCTTCTTGGCCTTTTTTTCTAAGCTCAGTGCTTGCAGTGTCCTGGTTCTGTAAAGGCTGCAGTGAGCACTATGAGTTGGACTAGGGAGACCATTCCCTCTGGAGCCCCTTCGAGTGTATCTCTGAGACTTGTCCCGCTCATCAAAATGCTCCAGGTCCATGACTGCTGAATTACACCCTAAAATAAAAAAGGAACAAACAAACAAAAAAAGAAAATCTTTAAAAAAAAAATAAAAATCCTTTATCTGAAACTGACTAAAACCCACCACATTAGAACCATGTTTTGTGACAGGCTATATTCTCCTTCTGATTTGTGCAAGCTCTAATGCTGCAACTGTTCCTAGTAAACATAAAGAAGCATGTCACACCCATCTAATGCTCCCTGGTGTCTCATAATATAAACAGTGTAAAATTAAATACATATTTTAGACAATTATTAAATGGACATAACTACCCAAATTATTTTTCAGAAGAAAAATTATAGTAAACTAAACACGAATAGAAAATGAATGGTAAAATAAATAAATAAAAAAAAATCTAATTCCATTGCAGTCCCTTACCTTGGAGGTGAGGATACAGAGGTAGGCAAAAAGGGTCTGTGCGGAAGTCTTAAATATTCTTATTTATGCGATGCCTTGGAGGAAGCATACGTCCCTTTGTTTGGCCTGTGATTGTCCTTAGCCGTCCCGCTGTGTCTGTTCTGTTGTGTGTGCTCACATGCAGACTGGAGGCAGGGCAGCCGGTGTCCTCTACCCTCCCCTGCTCTTATTCCATTGCGGTGATTTAGCAGACCGCTGCAAGAACGTGCCGTCAGCATGGCCCGCGCACGTTTATGACAGAGCGCGCAAACGCAGGATGCGCGGTCACGTAAGCCATACAGTAAAATGAGGATTAAACAGAGTAACATTGTGTAGATATGAGTAGAAAGGGATACCAATCGCTCCTCCGTTTTTCTTAACATTGTGAGTTGATGCATAGAAGAAAAACTGTCATCACGTGTAAATGCGTGCATGAAGCGTTTTGGGGTACACTGGTTGAAGCATAAGCGTAACAGAATACAGGTCATTTACCCTCAAGGGTATTGTCATTTACCCTAGTGTACCAGTTTAGGTACACTAAACTGGGAATCAGTTTAGTGTACCTGATTTCCATTAAATCCACTCTTTCCCGCATGTTTTTTTCTTTTCTTCTTTTTTTTTTGTTGCTCTTATAATTTCATAATTTATCTCGATTTAACAAATTTCATCATTAAGTCACAACACGTACTATACACGAGTGAAAAGGGAAACACCGTTCTCAATAACTGCAAAACATTTTCATGGCCGTATTCATCAAATTAATATATTGCAAATATTCTCAAAGTATACGATTTGATATTTTTTATGTGTTCAATTGATTTATATATTTTTTAAATTGTCCAACTTTCCTCCATGCATCTTCCTCAAACATATGAATGATGAAAAAAAAAAAAACATGATAAATAACTGTTCAATTTATTCCCAAAGTTGCAGACAATCTGTGTATGTAACAAAACAAAGATAAGTATAGGTCAAATTAATGACGAAGATAGCCGAGAATGAGGTTGGCATTTTACACAAACATCTGCTTTCGCTATGACTTCGTACTTCGTTTTTAAAAGGGGTCTGTGAATTGATGACAGACATCTCTTCGGGTAAATATTTAAAGCTAAGCGCACTCTGTAATACTTCAGATTTGAAGAGGAGTTCTGAAATCCTTACCATTTGGAGCGCATGTCATAAACTCACCGTCCATTTACAAATCACTTTTACCTGTTTCACACAGGTGTAGGTGATGTGTTTAATTAACTTCATCAGACAGATTCTTGTCACGTTAAAAGCACGTGACGGCTGGCTCTCTTATCTCCGGGTGAGTGATTTTCTCAAGGGTAACTAGGACTTTAAAAATATATATATTTATTAACCTTTTCAAAAGGGTGAAGATTTTGGATCCAGCTCCACTTTTATTAGTGATATTGTTTGCTCAACTATGCCAACACAAACATTAGGACTTGGCTTTAATTCAAGAGCCTTGATAAATCCTTAGAATCTTGAAGAAGGCAAATTGCTGATCAGGCTAAACATCTAAAGGTTATTAACCAACAACAGCAAAGGGGGTGGGGGGATTGTTTCTTTGAACACTAGTATCATCTCTCTCTCTCTCTTTAATGTCATTACTTTTTGTATAGCAGGCTAAACTGACTCATGAAGTTTATAATATCCAGAAATGATAATTGTTGAGCTTTAACAGCACTAATAATAGGCAAAGGCAATTTGCCTTTTGATTCTTGCATTGCATTGTTATAGCAGCAGCTGACTTCAGAGAAGTGCCTGTGTACTCAACCAAGAGTTTGGGTTAAGAGTCTCTTCCAATTGTATTTATTGGGCAAGAAGCAGACTTTCTTTTAGACACACCAGGAAAGGATGTTTGGATTAATTAAACTGAATCTCAATGTAGCTGTCAGAAAAGTATTGTTTCTGCAGAAGTGCTTAGGCCTTACAACACTGAGCACAAACAAGACGTCTATTAAGGTTCTAGGAATGTGTTTTTATTACAATTCAGAGTTTAACTCTTCCTGGTTTCTAAAACAAAATTAAGTAACACCATCTGTGTCATCATTGTAATCCTGAGATTAACCAGGGCAGTAGAGTCATAATACTGCGCTAGGAATACATTTAATTACCATGTGTGTATTCTCATGCTTTGCATGAAGACGCTGGAGATGCTGGAGTGATTTATTTTTTTTCTGTCAGTCAAAAAGCCAGCAGGTGCTTACTGTCTTATATGTCTTATGTAAATTGCTATATTAGCTGCACTGAGGTTCTGCTGTGGAAGACTATATTCACTAGGAAGAACATAGTTGACAAAGTGCTGACCAATGTTAAAATCTATAGATGAAAAAGTGAATGTTACACTCCTTGAAAAACAAGATCAAGCAACATATTTTTTGGTTAATTAAATGAGTTTCATCAGTCCAGAGGAATGTTTTTGTACATACCATGTTTAACCTGGTGTTTTCTTTCAGCCCTCATCACTGGAAGACTCAGTGAATCTGCAAGAAAAGTGGCCATCTACCACACTGACTGGTTCTCTGATGGATCAAACTTTTGGTTCAAGCTGGTAGCCTCAACCCAGTGCATGCCCAACCAATACTGTTGGACAAATCGACTGTTCTATGGGGCAAATGCTACCAGTGCGCCAGGATCAATTTCTGTCAGCCTCATTTCAAATCATGGAAGACCATTTCCTAAACAAGCCATCTGCATCTCAGGACTTCATTTCAACTGACCCTCTTTTAGAGGGTCATCTTTTAGTCATGTGGTACCAGCAGTCTCATCTTTGAGCCAAACAATTTGTGAGCTGACTTCTAACCAAATTGATCCTCATGATGAAACTCCACAAGAATTAAACTGTGCCTTGAGAAATGTTGATTTAGACCATAGTGACCTCATTGGTCATTGATTCAGCACCTGAAATGTTAAATATCCATTAACATTTTGAGGCAAAGTTGTTTGGTAATGAATAAATAGCAAGTGGAAATATACTTTTCATTTGTCAAAATATTTTTATTGAGGTTTTTCCAGGTGAAAAGTGCCATTATTGATCTAAAGATTTTAATCAGCTGGCAGCCAAAAGCAACACTGGACCATAAAGGGAGACAACATGATACAGTTTCACAAAATGGGGGAATGATACCAAGTTAGGATCACACAAATTAATTTCCAATTTATTACTCGTTTTGTTCACCTCACACACAGAAGAAACCTTTATTATCATTTAAAGTAACATTTTTAAGACAATTCTTCAGTAAAATTGCACAACAAAAGGCAGTATTACAGCTTGCAGGTTAATACAAATATCAGAATTTATAGTTACACTTCATACTATCAGGTTAGGCAATATTTTAATCTCCTTAGTGGAATGTAGGAATCTTCTTTAAGGATGATTAAATAAAGACAAATGAAAACAAAGAAATGTTAAAGTTACAATTTATCCAGCATGTTAGACTTAACATTGTTTCTAAGCACACCAAGAGATAAAATGTTAACTCCACAGACAAAACCATTATATGTGATCATCAAAATTAAACAATTTTTTTTTATAGACCAATTTAATCTGATAACACAAAAATACTCGAGGTTTTTAAATATTTACCCCATTTGTAAAATATCGCCCTCAATTTAAATATGGAGAGCATATCAATGTGCTTCAAGTTTTGGTTTCCACTTTCTGGATGTTGATCCAGCCGCTGTATGTTTAAAGTGCATGAAAGCGAAACCATTGTGTGGAGTATGCACATCACAGTAGCTACTTAGCAAATATAGAGCATGTTCTTATAAATAATGAGTACTAAATATAGACCTTTCTGATTAGCAAATAAGTTTTAAGGCATTGTTGAGAAAACGAGGCAGGATATCAACAGCTATTTGGTGAGTTTCTCCACTTCCTTTCCGTTTGGTGGCTTTTCCTGAAGCTTGTAGTCTTCCAAAATAGCCTGTGCCGTTTGCTTCCCAGTTCTTTTAACCACAGCTTTGATCCCCAGGTTGTCAATGTTGAAGGCAGTAATACCGACATTAATGGCAGAATTGACAGCGTTGTCCGTGGCTTGTCCCGCTGCTGTGCCGTACCTTCCAAGTTGGCAGCAGAGTCAAATTGGGTGGGAGGTCAGAGTAAGAGATAAGAGAATTAATTAGTATTGAGTGCAAGGACTGCAAAGATGCCATGCAGGAGTTCCACTTTACAATTACACCCAAGCAAGTTCACAAACCAAAAATTTTTATTAGCAGAAGTTTTCTGCAGAAAAGAAATTAGGCAAATACTTAAATTAATGCTGAAGCTCTTTAAAATTCTCATCTTGCTTAATGAATCTTAGAATAGTTTAATACAACCAAAATTATTCAAAGTAGAAAGATGGGTAACACTTTATTTGACGGGCTGTGCATAAGACTGACAAGACACAACACCTGTCATGAATATGAAGGAGTCTTTATGAATGTCTATGACTGTTGTCATAAAGTGTCATTCAGTAAATAATGACGCTTTTAAAGCAAAGTTGCTTTAAAATCCATTAAAAGTCCCAACTTTGCATTATTTTGGAAATAATGACTTTAATGTAAAGTTGGCACTTTTAAAGCAACTTTGCACTAAAAGTGTCATTTACTGAATGACACTTCATGACAACATTCATAAAGACTCCTTCATGTTCATGACAGGTGTTATTTCATGTTTATGACAGTGTCATGTCAGTCTTATGCACACCCCGTCAAATAAAGTGTTACCGAAAGGATGTAGCAAAACTCCAGTATTGAGTGTGTATTCATAATTTACAACAGAAATTTGAAATGGTTATAATTAATTCATACAAGACCCAACTTCAATTGATAGAGAATGGAGAGATTTCAGTCAACCAGAAATCAGTGAAGCAGCATAGTGAGGAGAATTAGCACAAGTGAAAGGGAAGTAAAGTGAATCACTGCTGAAAATAACTGCAAAGTGGATTGTGGAAGAAAAAAAAAACCAATGGGAAAAAGGGGAACTATGTTTAATTAGTGTCAGAACAAGTTAAAAAGCTGTGTATTGTTAGAAAGAATTACTGTTCTTCTCATTAGATGTATCAAAGACGTTTTGTAGAGCTCTATATCTGTAAAGCAAATTGAGGAGGAATACAAGTGAGCGTTTGATTTAGCTTCTCTTGTGCAAGAGGTCATTTGCAACATACAAAGGGAAAAAAAAAAAAAAAAGTCTAGTAAACTGAGAGAATGGTGGAGAAAATCCTTTTCACAAAAACTTACTTATGTTTTATGGTGGTGACTGTTTCTGCTGCAACATTTGTGGTGATGTCCTTAGCAGCTGCTTCCAAACCATTCCAAACAGTTGCGAATCCTAGTAACAAGAAAAAAAAAAAAACACTTTCTTATATTCTTAATGACACTTTTCTTGCTTTTTTTAATGAGCCAAGCAAAAACAAACCTTTACAATGGTTGGATCCAAATAAATAGCCTAAATCTGGTTTCGTAATGTTATAGAACTATTTGGTACAAAAAGATGGAGCCGATTGGATCTTTTTGTACCAGCAAGACTCGGTAAGTCTTCACCTTCTGATTGTTTAAATTCAAAACTGAACAGGAAAATGGGAGCTACAACACTGCAAACACGCCTTCATCCGCCAACACTGCCTGGGAAACCTATTGCTAATATTTTGTCAACCACAAACATCAGTACAGTTATAGTAAATGTACTGATGTTTGTTACATTTTTCTGTAACACAGAAAATGGTGCATTACTATAGTAATCTTTAGATGACACTAATTAGCAAAACAGCTTTAAAAATCATGCATCTTTTCCTTCTACTTTACAATAGTGTCCTATCTTGCATTTCCCTGTAGTAAAAAATACAATGACAATAAGGTTTGTTGTTGAAATGTTACATAGTAATATCTATGAATGAGTTAAAAGACAATTAATACTTTCAAAGAATATTCTATAGACTCCTTAGAGGTAACAGAAGTGTAGTTTGACCTTACCTTGCACTCCACTGGCAGCCACCACCATGGCTCCGTCCATGTTCGAGCGCCCGTCTTTGTCCTTCTTCATGGACTCGGGAATCAGTTTGCCACCGTGCTTTTTCACATGAGGAGCCAACTCTCGACCAACACAGTTAGCCACAGTACACACACCGTCCACTGCACAGGAAGAGCGCCACTCAATTAGAGGTTCACCACAAAACCCACCGGTCACACAAGGTCAGTAAAGAAAAAAAAAAAAAAAAAAAATGGGGGCGGGAAGCGGGTTCGGTCCCCTAGAAACTGGCGGACTTTAACGGG